TATACCATTCTTGATGCTGCCCACCTATAACATTCAAATTCATGCAGTAATACATTTCTGTAGTGTATAATAACATATTTTGAGTATGGATTTTCTGCCATTCAGAATTGAAACTATGTAAATACTGATACAATATTATTATCTCCCTTTTACAGAAGAGAAAATTGAAACTTAGAGAAATAAATAAGTTGCTCAAGTCACACAGTCAAATACGTAGCAGAGTAAAGATAGGAACTTGGGTCTTTCTGCCTACAGTATCTAGGCTTACTCTATTCCCCCCCCCTTCCCTGCCCTATTATTCATTTAATAGAACTCTTTCCCCATCCTTCTTATTAATACCATGTTCTTCTTTCCTACTATCCTTTTTTTGCTTGCCTTTTTTTCTCAGAGGAAGAAGTGTTCCTTCTCCCTATGGCTAGATTAGCCTCTCCCCTGATGATCTTGCTGTTATTCTCCTGTCTTCTTTGGGACTTTGCTCTATCAATCATTCAGGCTCTTGAATTGTGAATTTCTTCTTTTCACTTTAGCATTATGAGTAAACTCAAGTCATGCCTGACACCCCTACCCTTACCCTTGATTCTGATAACTCTTTAAGCTCTTCCCTCCTTTATTACATCTACCAAGAGACTTCTAGAAAACACAGCTACGTTTGCTATCTTCCTCTTAATTGAAATTGCTCTCTTTAAAGTCTCTGAGTGGGGTGGGGGTGGCTGGCGGTGCCTGGGTGGTTCAGCAGGTGAAGCATCTGCCTTTCGGCTCAGGTCATGATCTCAGGATCCTGGGATGGAGCCTTGCTCGGTGGGAAATCTGCTTCTCCCTCTCCCTCTGTCCTTTCCCCCACTCCTTCTCTCTCTCTCTCACTCTCTCTCTCTCAAATGAATAAATAAAATCTTTAAAAAAGTCTCTGAGTGGGGAGAGGCGTTGCAACCTTTCTCACCCAAAAGAGGAGGAGATATCACGTTGTGTTACAGGTTCTATTCCTGGTTGGGTCGTGGTTATTAGTGGACAGGATCGATGTGTGCTAAAATATCATCCGTGACTCATGCTTTCTTTTTTGTTTCCTGTTCCCTGTCTCCCTGTAGTAAGCAGATCTAGATAGGGCATTAGTCTAGTGGGGCATGCTGATCGTCTTTTTCCTTACCCTGTATCCTTCCCTCCCTCATCCCATCTTTCCTACTTCTTAGAGCAAGTTGAAGAAAGGCAAGATTTTGGGGGAACCTCCTAAGCACCTATTGTTATATTTCAAAACCATGCCAAGAGACCCACATTTACCTTTGTACCTATTAACAATATAGTATGTTTATTCTGGTGCTGCAATTGTCTATTATATGTACAGAAAAGAAGAATGGTCAATAGGGCAGGATTCTGGCATTACTGGGTTTCTGAACATAAGACCATCAAAACAACATTCTGATTCTCAGCAGGCACCTTTCACCCCCCAGCTTTATTGTGGCATGATTGATAAATAAAAACTGTATATGTTTAAGGTGTACCATGTGATGTTTTGATATGCATATACATTGTGAAATAATGGCCACAACGAAGCTAATTAGCATATAGTATATTCATCACCTAACAGGTTTTTTTTTTTTGTGTGTGTGTGTGTGTGTGTGTGTGTGTGAAAACACTTAAGATATACTCTATTAGCAAATTTAAAGTATACAACATATTAACTCTTAACTATAGTCATGATAGTATACATTAGGCCTTCACTGTTGACTTTATCATAGTAATATTCAATGATTTCATATGAATTTTTATTTTCTTTGATGTCTATGCAATATGTTTGATTCTCTTAGCTAGTCACTTATTCTTGAAATGCTTTACTTGGTTTTTATGCCATGTCATTGTACTAGTTACCTAGAGTAACTCAAATCTGTTGGTTTTATGGTCCAGTATTTCCTTACTTGTCTCCTGACAGATTTCACAACCTCAGCCATATGATTTACCTCATAGCTCAAGTCGCGGGCAATGCTAGGCCCTAACTGGTCAGCAAGCGATCTCTCAGCCATGGTAATTGGGTCAAGGATGGGCACATAATTGACAGATCTAATTGGATACTATACAATAAGTTTTCGAGGACTTCAGAGAAAGAAACCTTTTTTATGACCCTTAGACGTGGGTGGATATAGAGTTTGGAGCTTGCTGTAGCCATGTGGCCACCATGTGGAATTTGAAAATGGAGTTTGAAAATGGAATTTGAAAGTGGAGAGATGGAGCAAAGTCTCTTCATGGTGACATCCTGGAGTTTGAGTCCTACATCGAGCTACTTTTCAGAGACAGGAACCAGTAAAGTCTCTCTCCCCCCCATGATTTTGGCTTAAACCAGTTTGGTTTTTTTTTCTCCTTTGCAATCTAAATAATGCAAAAACAAAACAACCTCTGCATTTTATTGTGTACATATAAATGCATACATATAAATTCATAGGGAAATTTCTAGAAAGATACACATCAAAGTGGTAGGAGTGGTTATCTCTGAGGAAAGGGGGTTATTATGGCAGGAGAGATAATTAGGAAGAGATTTATGTGTTTTTTCTTAGACTGCTTCACAACAAGGATCAAACACTCATAAAATTAAAAATAAAGATTCAATAAACACAAAGACAACACTCTGCTACTACCCCCACTACTACCTCCCAACAACAACTTCTGTTGAATTAGTAACCAATATATTTATCTGATATTCAGGATCTAGAGCGGTGTAACTAAAACCTCTTCTTCCTCTCTTTTCTTTTTTTAAAGAATTTATTTCTTTATTTGACACAGAGAGAGAGAGAGAGCAAGCACAAGCGGGAGCAGGGAACAGAGGGACAGGGAGAAGCAGACCCCCTGCTGAGCAGGGAGCCCAACATGGGGCCCGATCCCAGGACCCTGGGATCATGACTTGAGCCGAAGGCAGGTGCTTACCTGACTGAGCCACCCAAGTGCCCCTTCTTTCCCTCTTCTATGGCAAGTCCTTAGTGTTCCTGGAGGTTTGTAAAGCAAATGTACTTAAAACAGGGGCTTTAGAACTTACCTTGCAAACTAATCATGATGCTTATAATTATTATTTACTCTGTAATGACAACCAATTCTATCTCAAAATATGTTTTCATGCTCACTCTAGTCAATGAGTAGTTGCTGCACCATTTATCTGCTCTGCAAATAATAATAATAACAAAAAAACCAAGGCACAAACTAATTTAGAGCTTTGTTCCAAGTTGCACAGTAAAACAGCAATAGTGATGGGACTCATGTCTTTTGATTCTCAGCTGATGAGCTTTCCATCTCACCACAATCTGCAGCTGGGGCAGGATTCAGGGAACTCCAGTTAGGACTCCGCTCTGGTGTAAAATGAAGCTGGCTCCTTCCAACACTGAGGAGAACTCTGCTTAACTCTCTGATGCCTTTTTTTTCATGTCATATTTCTTTTGAGATATAACCTGACCTTAGATATATAAATGCCCTGATGATACAGAACAGAACCATTTTAAGTAGTTTAGTGTTCTGTGACACAAAATCTGAATTTCCAGCAAAGAACTCTCAGGGGCACTCACTACACCTGCTTGGAGTAAAAGGCAGTTTGTTACAGATCAGCAAGAGGAACTGTTAACAGGATTAGTTGATTCTCATCTGGTGAGGCGGTCTCTTTAAAAGTGGTGAGCCGATTCACCACCAGGGGGCGCAGGTTTTCTATAGTAAATGCGGAAAAAGACGCGCTCTCACCTGAATCTTTCCCGAAGTCTGAATATTAAAGAGTTCATTGCTCCGGAGCTAAAAGCTCTCTGTTTAATTGATCCCTGGGAATGATGATAGAGCCTTGCTTTAAAGCCACACAATCAGTTTAAACAGTTAAACCCTCTGAGCTCATTCATTCATTTTTCCTGGTTGCTGGAAAAGAAAGTGCTATATTATGGAGATAATCATGACAGATAATCCAAATGAAAGCAATTTTGACAAATTCTAATAAAATTTTTTGTTGAAACAGGGATGACAAAATCCTTTAAAAGGAAAATAGTTTAGACTGCATGAAAAATAGGCCTCAGGCTAAGAATCTTTTGCTCAAATAAAGGAAATAAGAGCCCTGGAATTGTAAGAATAGAATTATATGCTGCTTTAACTCATGCCCTCAGCCTGAAGAACGAAAGCAAATTAGAGAGACAAGGTAATCTTTCTCTTCTGAAGTGGAACTGTATAAAATGATTTACAAATGACTTAAAGTGGAGGGGATTCAACAACAGGCAATTAATTCAACAGTTTAAAAAAATCGGTCGCAAACAATGCCATCTTTGCTTTGCCTCAAGCAAATAAGGCACATCCTTTTTTTGGTGAGCATGTTGGGGGAGGGAGGTGGAAGTTGCCTATTAAATCACAGATCGGATTCTAGGGGTTTAATTTCTACCCGTGGGAAGCATCTGGTTATACACGAGTGGAATGCATACATGTAAATTTTCTTTTACATATCAGGGATTCGTGCAGGATTTTGGGATTCGCCTGGGGAGATACTTTATCTTTGTTCTCAAAGAATTAAGATGTACCATAGCTTTACAATAAGCATGAACTGAGGAGGGACTGGCAATGAGGGGAGACTGCTTATAGAGATGGGAGAACACAGCTCTGAATGAGAACAAACTCATTTATGTCACAGTATTATAAAAGAAAGAAGGCTTGCTATGTACCATACCAAGATATATTTTCCTAGGCCCTTTCAGCTTTGGCCATCCCCAGGTTGTTAGAAGACCGATCAGGATATTTTAAGGGGTTCTCTCCCTAGCCTCCCACACCTATTAACTTGGCATTCCCACATTGGCCTGCTCCCCAGCTGCAGCCCCCAGGCCAGGGTTAATTCCTTACGGATGCCTGTACCCTAAATAAAGAAACCTCGGTCAGAGGTCGCCCCAGACGGGGAGGGTGGGGTTTAGAGGTCTCGGGCGGCCCGCGCCTGGCCCCACCCAGGGAGGGGGCGGAGCGTCTCGCGGCCCTGCCCCGCAGGCCCGGGGTGCACGTGACCCGCGGCCCCGCCTCCCGCCCGCTCCGCAGCGCCAGCTCGGCAGGCGCGGGGCGTGAGTCTCGAGTGAGACCCGCCAGGCTCCAACTCCGCAGCGCCGGAGCTCGGCGGGCAGCAACTTTCTCCCCGGAGCGGCCGCGGCGGCGGCTGCTGCCGTGGCAGCCGGAGCGGGAGCCGGGAGGAGGAAGGCGGCGGCCGTAGCTCCTGCCCGCTCGGGCTGTCCAGCCCTCGGAGACCGCCGGCCCGCCGAACCTCGCCGCCTCCCCGGGGAGTCCCGGGCCCCTGCCCTATGTCCCGCAAGGCGAGCGAGAATGTGGAGTACACGCTGCGGAGCCTGAGCAGCCTCATGGGCGAGCGGCGCAGGAAGCAGCAAGAGCCGGACGCGGGGAGCGCGGCCGGGGAGCGCAGCCTCCTGGCGGCCGCCGAGTCGAGCGCCAGCCTGCAGAGCGCGGGCGGCGGCGGCGTCGGGGACCTGGAGCGCGCGGCGCGGCGGCAGTTCCAGCAGGACGAGACCCCCGCCTTCGTGTACGTGGTGGCCGTCTTCTCCGCGCTGGGCGGCTTCCTGTTCGGCTATGACACCGGCGTGGTGTCGGGGGCCATGCTGCTGCTCAAGCGGCAGCTCAGCCTGGACGCGCTGTGGCAGGAGCTGCTCGTGTCCAGCACGGTGGGGGCGGCCGCCGTCTCAGCGCTGGCCGGCGGGGCCCTCAACGGCGTCTTCGGCCGCCGCGCCGCCATCCTGCTGGCCAGTGCCCTCTTCACAGCCGGTTCCGCGGTGCTGGCCGCGGCCAACAACAAGGAGACGCTGCTCGCCGGCCGCCTGGTCGTAGGGCTTGGCATCGGTGAGTTCGTGCTCTGCGAAGGGCGCCCTTGACCCTGGTCGCTGCATTCCTTTTGCCCCTCTGGGGTCCCCGTCGGGGCTTGCTGGCCCGGAGAACACTCACCTTGTTTGGTCCCGAGAGCCCATCTGTTTGTTACTCCGGGCTCTAAGGCTCCCGCGGAGGGTGGAGGTGGTGGTGTTCTCTCTGGGCTCCCTTGAGCCCACGTGGAATCTTCGATCGCCCACGGACAAGTGAATCCGCGCGATTGTTTCATGTCCTAGCACTTCTAGGAACCCGAGTCATTACCTTGATCCAGCCCTACCTGATGCTCCTCTAGACCTTATGAGGGGAGGGTCTCTTTACTGTATTGTTCTCTATTTTTCTACTGCTAACCCCTTTCCTTTCTAGGATTCCAAACTACGAGCCCCATCAGTCTTAAATTCCCAGTAAGATAATTTTTAAAGTTAATCAAGTGATCCTGGACTGTATTCTTTGCTACCGGTACTCTCCTTCTCTGGTCATTTATCTTTAGGTGGAGTATTATGTTTCCTCTCCTTTTGCCTTTAAAATTGTATTGTCTCTTTCATATTTTTCGCAAATGAAGTCCTGTTTTTCTAACTTTTTTCCTTTAAATCCATATCCACCCATTCTCCTTTTTCGTTTTGCCCCTCTTGCTTTCCTGTTGGGAACCAAATTATCTATTAAAGGTCATGTTCACTTATTAAATTCATTTAGGAGCCACTTCCCCTGTGGATAAATGCCCAGCAAGATAGATGTTTGCAATTACTTCAAAAATGAAAGGATTAAGATTCCCCAGGCATTGATTTTTTCACCCTGGTTGCTGAGCAGGGGAGGTACAATGGCAAGTTCTTGGCAGACGGAAGCTATTGGGAATGTGCTTGGTATTATTAGAAAGCACTTCTGAGGGAAAGTAGGGGGTTGAAACATAAATCTCACTAGTAATTTTTCTAAGACCTGCTGCTGATGCTTTTTAAATGTTTCATTTTATAAGTCAGTTTGTTTCCTTTAGAGTGCTGTTGAAGTATTTCCCCCCCGCCCCCCCATGGCTGGGGCTTGATGAAAACTCTTTAAACCTGGGACTCCTAATGATTTGTCCATTTACCACTTGACATCTTGTTTTTCACCCCCTTCCTTGTAGTCTCTAAGGGGAAGCAAGCCCCATTTATACAATTCCATGTTTAGGAACCATGAGCCTGAACTCCAGCTCACTGCAATTTATATCCAAAATCTGTCATTGCTGACTTTCCTTTTGTTTCTTGGACTGTTAATTAGTGAAGCAGGGCAAGGCTCTCAGTAAAATATTAAGTCGGCACATTAAAGTCCAAAATGACCAAAAAGTACAGCTGAAATGAAGCCTCTTTGTAGAGGAAATACCTGTCCCTTCAGGACCCTTCGATAAATAACTTGTGGTTAAAGTCAAATGATCAGGATTCTTTTCTCCGTATTCTCTGCTTGGGGCGCCTGAACTATGTTGATTGTTTCTTCTGACCTAGAAATAACATCACTTTAGACGGCAAGATTTGTTCAGTAAGAGTGAATCTTGTGATTTTGAAATTGAATAATGTTTTGCGCGGTGAATGAATAATGTTTTGCAGCTTTGCATGACGCTTCCTAGAGTTTAGGTGTGGCAAGTATTGGTTATTTGGATACTCTGTTTACTCTTTATCTGCTGGGAATATTGAGCCCCTGTTGTGGGTAAGGTCTCCTCTTAGATGTTGTAAGCAGCAGAATGGTGAGGAGGATTTAACCCAGTAAGAGTAGCAGGGTGGGAATAAAGCCAGGTAGAACTTGCTAGGCTCCATGAGAAGGTCTCTCAGGGAGAGAGGGCTGATGCTTTCAAAAAGGGTACAGTTATCCTAACAGAGGGAAGCTGGAAGCTCTTCCTCATAGAAATGGTATGTTCATACGTGAGTAGTGTTTTAACAGAGGTGAAGAAAGAACCTTCTAAGCCAGGGGATGCTTGGGGGAATAAGGTGGATGTAACAAAGAGGATGAAGCAGGAGGTAAGATGGGAAAGGTTGATGTGTGGAACTGCAGACCCCTGTGTATCCCATGGCCTCCTTCTGTGGCACCTGGGCTGCTTGTCTGACTGTGCATCCCAGTTGAGACATGGTCCTGATTTAGTCCTGGTGTGACCCATCTCCTCAGAAAGAAGCTCTTAGAATAGACGCCCTGATACAAAGTATCCTAAAAGTCTTCTTTACTTATAAAATGAAGAATGCTAAAGTCATAAGCAGGCTTTGAAATAGACCACATTTCGAATTAGGATTATGCAAAGCATGCAGTTGTCCATGTAAAATCCTTAAAACTCACAAAGATTACTAACCTCCCAAAGGAAAAGTCACAGTTATTTTTAGTTACAAGGAAATGGGTCCTTAACAGGAATTTTTGGGGGGAGTTCGGGGGGGACGCTAAATCCGTTTTTCTTGCTTAAATACACTAAATCTGGGTGAATTTCATGCTTTTTTTTGAGTAAATTTTATGGGAAGTGGGAAGGTTTTTTGTTTTTGTTTTTGATCCTTTTGATACTTAGTAAATGTTGATGAATAACAAAATGTGGCTTTTGCTATTTTTTTTTTTTCAGGCAAGTTTGCAGTGGTGATTTCTTTCACAGATTTACCTGTGGTAAATATAAAGCCCATGGGGACAGGGCTTTTGTTCATTTTGTTTACTGATGTGTATTCACAGCCTATAGGAGGCCCTTACTGATTGGAATAGTGAGCAGAAACATTAAAAAAAATAATTCCACTTCTCTTAGGGTACCACTTTAAGATAGGACTATTCTTTAAAAAAGTGTTATTATCAAAATATTTGAAAGGCCATCTAAGGGTTTTATTTTCTAATACTTTAATGCAATCATTCATTTATATATTCAACAAATGCTAATTAAGCTTCCATTATTGATTCTGTCAGTTTTGGGGTAGGCAGGAATTAGATAAAAATCCCACCCTGGAGGTGTTCATTCTGTAATAGAAAAGGACCATCAACAAACAATTAAAATACAATAGAAGTTTCTCTAAGAGCCAGAAGAGTAGGCAGTTGATTCTTTTGCGGGGGGGGGAGTAAATAGAACACATGGGAGGTTTTACAGAAACATATTTAAAATGGAGTTTGAAGAGTGGGTAGGAGTTCAGCAGATGTAGAGGTAGCTGGGAAAAGAGCTAATATTTAGTGCTTTAGTTTCTACTAGGCCTCCTGCATTATTTTCCATATATTATTTCATTTAATTCTTCTAACTCTGAAGTAGATGGGAAACAGGTCCCCTTTTGCTGGATGTAGAAACAGTCTATAGCAGTTAAATGACAAGGTCACTGGTACAAAGTCAGGATTAAAAAAGCAAAGACTCGGAGTCTTTTGCTTATATTACTCTCCTGGGCATTTAAGGTAGCATTAACAGCAAGTGTAAAGGCATAAAAAAATCAAAGCAGTATTTGAAGCATAGTGGAAGGTGGTGATGGGGGCTCATGAAACTAGGATGATGTTTGGCGGGGGGCGGGGGGGGTATGCTGAATAGGGATTATTTGGCAGTGCCTATACAGGGACAGTCATGGGAGGTTTTTAGCTATAAATGATGTGATCAGATTAAGCATCCTTTGTATCTGGTCTTTTTTCTCCCCGCCCTTTTGCTTTTAAACTCTTATTTTCTTCCCCAAACCTTCTTGCCTCTTTGAATTTTGTAGTGTTAGAAATTCTTTGTGGAGCTGGTTACTGCAGGGTGGGTAAAAGCATAGTAAGTGGCCATGAATTACTGGAGTAGGAAGAGTCTGTGGGGCCTTCAACAGAAACCTTTGAAATAGATAAAGATAACCAAGTCTGTATTAAATGAGTCAGATGGTGAAAGAAGCATCAGAAATTGGGTATTAGTGTTTGAGTTAGTTTAAGGATTCAGTTTTCTTTTTACAACAAAATCAGCTGACCTAGTGCCTGTTTGATTAGGGCATTACTTTAGGCTTTTGTTTTCACCAGAGGTTCCTTTGGTTCCCCTGGTTTATTTTGCTCTTGTCTTGAATTGAGTCCTGGGACCAGACTGTCTCATTTAGTCGTTTCTCCACAGTGTTGGCATTTACTCTACTGCTCATTATAAGCAGTGATTTAGCGCCTGTGTAGCAAATATCAGGAAGTGTCTAAATTCAGATATTCACCAGTATTCAAAACCTTTACCGAGAATTGACATATTAATTTATACAGCACTGGGTTTGTTAAATTAATCTTAGGTCTGCATCAGTTTTTCCTGTCTCAATACTCCCTCTACTGGAACACAATTTGTGGCTGCATATTGCAGCTTGTGATCAGTCTGCTATAACCCGTAGAGTAGTATTTCTAAAAATACAACTTTTTTTTCAAATAGCATTTTGAATTCTTTGATGCAAAGCAAATGTAAAATCTTGTTTGATCAGAAACTCATTCAGTACTGAGATTAATGTCAATAAAGAATTTAGGTAAGCAGGGCTAGTCAGAATCAACCAGATTTTTAAAATATCAGCTGATGTGATTTCATTTTTGTTTTTTGCCATCAAGGTTGTTTTTCCTACTCCCTGCCACCCTCCACCTCCCACTTTTTCTTTCAGTTTCATCTTTTAAAGCAGGATTTCTTTGTTGGATTTACCAGCATGAAACTGACATGTAAAGTAAAACTTTATTTCACTTCCTCTCTTTCCTTGTCTCAAACAGGGTGTATGTATGTGCCACGCCCCCTCCACTTTTCTGCCTGGTGGCATTGACATTGCAGAGTGGCACTGAGGATTATGACCTAATTATGTTTGCCTAGTAGTGTTGCAACACGTTCCTCCAGTGAGTTGTCAGTAGGATGACAGAGAAGTCTGTTAACATGAGTTCTATGAAGTTGTTCACGTGACTTCCGTAGAAGACCTTTCTTTTTCATCCATCCATATTTCTTTCAATTTTTTAAGCTCAAAGTCAGAACCCAGGCTAAGTTGACTGCCTTGGCACTGATGTTTTTGGCTTTAACACATCTGCTGACATAGAACCTGCTGGTAGGT